TTCTCCCTTGTCCAGGTGATAGGTCACCTGGTCGTAGAAGGAAATGAGATTGGTCAAGCAAGACCTACCTGCAACAAACCCGTGCTGGCTATCCCTTAAGATGTTGGCGTCGGCCAGTCCATTAAGGATGGCCTCTTTAATAAACTTTTCTAAGATCTTCCCCGGGATAGAAGTCAGGCTGATGGGCTTTGCATCCTTTGCTAACTAAAACTCCAGTTGCACTTTGGACTTCCTGATTGTATCTCTGCATGCTTGAGCTAATACTCTTATACTCCTCCCTAGTTGTTTGTCCAAGTTTCCACTTCTCATAAGCTTCCTTTTTTGTGTGTTGGTTCACTGAAGCCAAACTGCTAAGCCAAACTGGTCTTCTTCCATACTTGCTAGTCTTTCTGCGCATCACAATGGTTTGTTCCTGTGCCCTCAGTGAGGTTTCTTTAAAGTACAACCAGCTCTCCCGGATTCCCTTCCCCATCGCACTGGCCTCCCAGGCCACCTGTGAGTTCCCTGAGCAAGTTGAATCTGCTTTTCTGAAGTCTGTATTCTGCTTCTATCCTTCCTGCCTTTCCTCAGGATCCTGAACTCAATCATCTTGTGGTGGCTACTGCCCAAGTTGCCATCCAGAACTACATTCCCCACCAATTCATCCCTGTTTGTGAGCAGCAGGTCAAGAAGAGCATAGCCCATAGCTGGCCTCTTCAACATTTTCCAAAAACATTGGATTACCTGTGCACAGCTGTATTGAACTCTCAGAAGCTGTGAGGGTGATTGAAGTCCCCCATAAGAACCAGGGCCTGTGATCAGGATACTTCTGCTTGCTGTTTAAAGAAAGCCTCATCCAGCATATCCTCCTGGCCTGGTGGTCTATAGCAGACCCCCATCACGACATCACCCTTTTGTTCTCCCCTCTGACCCCTAACCCAGAGACTTTCAAATAGGTCCATCTCCAGTTTCATATTGGAGCTCTAAGCAATCACAGAGCTTTTTATACATGAAGCACAATTCCTTTTCCTCTTCTCCCCTGCCTGTCCTTCCTCAACAGTTTATATCCATCCATACAGTGCTCCAATCATGCAAGCTCTCTCACCAAGTCTCTGTTATTCCAATCATGTCATACATCTCTTGAAGATGAAAGAATGCCATTGATTCATAGTTGTGTGACCATGCAAGGACTTTCAATTCTTCCTGTTTGTCTCCCAGGCTCCATGCATTTGTGTACAGGCACCAGAGGTGACTAGCCACTTACCTCAGAGCATTGGTCTCCATTTCCTGGCGAACCTAGTTTAAAGACCTTCTCACTAGGCTAGCAAGCCTATCTAGATGCTCTTCCCTCTCTTTGTCA